TACAAGTAGTCCTTGACCTACGACCACAATGGAGCCCAAAATTTCTGTTGTTAAGCGAGACATTTGTTAAGGGAGTTTTGCCTCATTGTATGACTTTTCTTGCTGCAACGGTTAAGCGAATCTCTGCGGTTGATAAGTTAGTAACCCGGTTGTTAAGTGAATCTGGCTTCCCCCATTGACTTTGCTTGTCAGAAGGTCGCAAAAGGGGATCGCGTGACCCCCCCGGGACACTGCAACAGTCATAAGTATGAACCAGTTGCCAAGCCTCTGAATTCTGATCACGTGATCACGAGGATGCTGCAAAAGTCGTAACTGTGAAAAACAGACATAAGTCCCATTTTTCAGTGCCGTTGTAACTTTGAACGGTCACTAACTGAACGGTTGTTAAGTTGAGGACTGCTTGTATTGAAACTTTACCACCTGTGGACTTTTAACTTCCAGAATTCTGGGAGTTGAAGTCCACAGGTCATAAAGTTGGCCTACTTGGCTACCTCTGCTCTTATAAGACATAGTAAGAGACAGGAGACTGAATGCCTCTTCTGCTATGAGCCATATGTACAGAATCCAAAAATAAACATATCTATTTTCTTACAGGCCCACTTTTTTTTTTTTTTTTGGCCTTCCTGCAACCGCTTGCCGATTAAACAAATTCTTCCAGCCACCAAAGTTTGGACAATGAATGGCTGAGATTTCTTTATCGTCTGCCTATGCCAAAGTTAGACTGTCCTAAATTCAGAAGTAATGTTCCTCAGGTAATGTATACAGAATGGGCCTGCTTCCCTCTGAAGGAGCTGGCTATGTTTAGTCTGCAGCAGAGATGATGAAGAGGTAATAAGGCAATATAATCGCCAGCTATGCATAACTGAAAGGCTTTTGCAGAAATGGAAGGACTCCAAGCCAAATTTGAAGAAACGAGATTTCCAAGTTTGGAGAAGAACCTGTGATCGTTTTAAAAATCTGCTAGTGGGAGATACGCGTGTGCCTATTGTGGACAATGGACTTGTTTAATGACTGTGGCGTTTGCTTAAGAACCAGGGTGATACAGAATAACAGAGTTGGAAGGGATCTTGGAGGTCTTCTAGTCCAACCCTCTGCTCAGGCAGGAAACCCTATACCATTTCAGACAAATGTCTGTCCAGTCTCTTCTTAAAAACCTCAACGACTTCTGGAGGTAGGTTGTTCCACTGGTTAATTGTTCTCACTGTCAGGAAGTTTCTCCTTAGTTCTAGGTTGTTTCTCTCCTTGATTAGTTTCCACCCGTTGCTTCTTGTCCTGCCTTCAGGTGCTTTGGAGAATAGCTTGACTCCCTCTTCTTTATGGCAGCCCCTCAAATAGTAGAAGACTGTCACCCCCTGGTCCTTCTTTTCATTAAACTAGACATTCACTTAACTGCCCAGAAAAAAAGGTCAAAAAAAATGAAGCACGGTCATGTGAGGACCCCTTTAACAACCCTCATGATTTACAACCATAATTTCATAATCAATTATGGTCATAAGTTGAGGACTACTTGCATTTAACCACGACACTCACTCAGGAGGGGGGAGGCCTTGCTACGATGAACACAGGGACATTTCAGTCTGTGCTTGGTGTTAATATGCTTACCTAGGAATGAAGCAATGGGTGGTCGATGTGCTTAGAGCAGGGCGTTTCAACCAGTGGTACGGGTACCACCTGTGGTACGTTGGCACCTGGCAGGTGGTACACGCCATCCTAGAAAAGTGGTAGCGGGGGAGGGGAATGAGCTGAACCGGTGGCAGCACCACACAAGCCTGAGCGAGAGACAGCTGGAGCTGCAGGGCTGTCAGGGCTCAGCGGAAGCGCCAGGATCAGTGCCGCTTTCCAGCTGATTGGCGCTTCTTAGGAACTGTCAGGGCTAGTGGAAGTACCAGGATCAGTGCCAGGGTCCAGCTGGAGCTCGGCGCTGATCCTGGTGCTTCTGCAGAGCCCAGAAGAAGTGCCGATCAGCTGGAATGTTGCAGCATCTCCAGGGTCTTGTGATTTACATTCAGGTGCTTGGCAACCAATTCATATTTATGACGGTCACAGTGTCCCAGGGTCATGTGAAGTGACCCAAACCTGCTGCAACCACCCAGCAGATGGAATAAAAACCAAACACCCCCCCACCCCACCCCCACTTCCAATCCTCAACAGAAATGCTCACAACAATGGAAACCTCGGACAGGAGGAAGAGCACCGCCGGGTGGGCAGGCAGGTGTCTTGCTTGGCTGTGGCTTGGGGGGCACTTTTTTCAGTGCCATTGTAACTTCGAACAGTCACTAAATGAACTGTTGTAAGTCGAGGACTACCTGTACTTCATCACTTTTTTCCTTTTTTGGGGGGTCATCAAGTTTCTGACACCTTGCTAGGCGACTGGCGGTACTTGGATATTGTCATATCCTAAAAGTAGTACAATGGGTGAAAAGGTTGAAAAGCCCTGGCTTAGAGGCTGCCTTGAAGCTTGCTAAGAAACATTAATTCCTGGGAAACCAGAACAGTGGATGTCCCAAAGGTGCTTTTTCCAAAAGGCAACGGGACTTTCTTGGTTCTTTTTCTTTGAATAGGTGTCGCTTCTCGTTCAAGAATATTCTTCAACTCTGACTCCTGGTGACTGCCTAGATATGTCCTTGTGGTTTTCTTGGCAAAGTTTTTCAAAACTGGTTTGCCATTGTGTGCTTTCTAGGCCTGAGGGAAAGTGACTGGCAAGAAGGAGGAGGAGGAGGAGGAGGAGGAGGAGGAGGAGGAGGAGGAGGAGGAGGAGGAGGAGGAGGAGGAG